CCCATGCCACTACAAGTGAGCATCTAAACATCCTTCCCATGATGCCTCAAATAAACAACACTTATCCCGGTTTTTCGCAACTTTAAATAGCAATTATGATTAGTTACTGCAGTTTTGAGTAACATCAAATTTTGTAAGTCACTATAGACTTGTGTTTCGAAATGTTATTCAATAGGACTTTATATGTTTCTAATTGATGTAGTAGTTCCCTTTATCCACCCACGCCCCTTATTTTATAATGAAAGGAATTTATATGTTTCTAGATGATGTAGTAGTTCCCTTTATCCACCCACGCCCCTTATTTTATAATGAAAGGACTTTATATGTTTCTAGATGATGTAGTAGTTCCATTTATCCACCCTTATTTTATAATGAAAGGACTTTATATGTTTCTAGATGATGTAATAGTTCCTTTTATCCACCCACACCCCCTTATTTTAAAATGAAATGGCTTTATATATTTCTATATGATGTAATAGTTCCCTTTATCCACCTACACCCCCTTATCTTATAATAAAAGGACTTTATATGTTTCTAGATGATGTAGTTGTTCCCTTTATCCACCCACGCCCCCTTATTTTATAATGAATGGACTTTATATGTTTTTAGATGATGTAATAGTTCCATTTATCCACCCCCTTACTTTATAATGAAAAAGTTATTAATGGAACGCTGTCGGATTTCACAGATAGGTCTATTGCAGTTGAAATAACTGCTTTATTTCACCCCCCCCCCATTGTTTCTTTTAACACGTGTATAACGAAAATTATCGTTGACAGAAATAACCTCAATGGATTGTGGGATACCGCACGAGGACTTTGGTTTGACTTAAAAAATGAGGAATCATCATTTCTGTTCGAGTTGTTTAGTGCAAACAGAAAAATCCTCTACTTTAACAGACAGAAGTGACAAAATACTGTAGCAAATCAGTAGTTTCAAAGGACAAACAACCTGTACTCTATAAATATTTTATTTGTACAGGTGTTTTTGTTTTTAGACCGAGCATGATCAATGGTTAGCGTGACTGTGGTCCGAAGTTCGCGTCTCGTTACCGTAGTTAAAAAACAACAACAAACATCGCGCTCCGACGAGTGATGTTGACTAGCTGCCTTCCTTCTAGTCTATAATTTGAAAATTAAAGACGTTTAGCGTAGAGAGCCCTTGAATAGCTTGGCGCGAAATTCTGAAAACAAACAGTTTCTTTGCTGTTTAACTTTACTTACCATTTCTGTAACATACCGTTTGAAAATCAGTGTCCCTGAATACCACAGATGTATTACTCGGGTTCTTCTTTACCTTTTGAGTTGGCTTGTAAGTTCTATTATTAATTAATATTTCAGTATTCAAATTCGAGCATACCAGCTCTCATAAACTCTTATTAGAATGGGGGGTTCACCACCGACACTTGAAATCGGAGTTTGAAAGCACCGGTTCTATATACCTTGAAAAGGCACGGCAAGGATTTAACTAGGTCTTTTACTTGGTATGTTTTATTTCTTTAAGTGGTAAAATGTTCATGCTCGATGAACAATACCGTGGTAATATCTTTTCTCACACTCACTTACGGAGTTAATTTATTTTTTTCACCGAAATATGAAACTCGGGTACACATTTTTTACTGTCAAGTCCTGGTCGATTAGACTGTACCATAAATATTATCGTCGTAAGACAATTACAAATAGGCCTATCCTCTTTTCAGAGGTATCAATATGTACCGGGCGTCGTCTAACCCTGAATCTGAGGGTTCTTGATTCACTGCCCTTGTAAGTAATTAGAAGCAGAGGGTTCCCTATACAAATTCGGTTAAGTCCCATTAACTATTTGTCCAGACAAGAGTAGCCCACCAACGTGGGTAGCTGTCTTCCCTCTAGTTCAAACGGCTACACACAGATGGCCTTGCGAGAAAAAAAACTATAGCGAACACAGAAGTGAAGGGAACTTATTGGAACTGAAATCAGCGGCCTTTGACCTTGAGTAACTTCTCTATTAGACAAGCCTCCCACTTCCACCGTGGCACATAACGCTAAAATCCGGACTTCGATACCCGTGGCTATCACAGTACAAATAACCAGCTTTGTGCTTAACAGCAGCCAAACTGTCCCGTGACTATCACAGTACAAATAACCACTTTGTGCTTAACAGCAGCCAAACTGTCCCGTGACTATCACAGTAC